TTGAACATTATATTTATGGTAAGTTGTATTAAAGAGCTGTGTTCAGAAGTGAAATTGAATGGAACTTAATGTCAAAAATGAATGTCACGGTGAGTGTTCTTTAGTGCACTTGGCATGTAATATAGTGCACTTAGCATGTGATATAGACAGGATTGCACATATACTCAACCGATTCCCTGTATACATGATTTGTGTTCACTTAAGGAACTCTGTCAATTTACACGTATTTATAATTCAAGTAAACGTATGAAGCTCACTCTAATTTCATAGCTACTTGCATGTATTAATGATTAGATAACACTTACATGTACGAAGTTCAATCTAGAGATTCGAGTACACTTACGAAGCCCAATCAAGTTAACAGGTATAATGTGAGGAGTACACTTACGAAACGTAGCTCACTTACATGTATTAATGACTGAGTACACTTGTGAAATCCAATCTACATACTTGTATTAATGTTTGGTCAAGAAACTCAATTAAGTTACTGTTCTTACGGCTTCGAGTACATTTATGAAGCTCATTCTCGTTAATGGTCATAATTATTAATTAACTCAACCCACTTACAGATATAAGTAACCGAGTGCACTAGGAAAACCAGATCTCCCTCCTTGTATTAATGTTACAAGTACTGTTAAGAAACTCAATCTACTCAGTTGTATTGATAATTCGGGTACACTTAATAAACTTAATCAAGTTACCATTGCTAATATTTCAAGTAAGTTTATCAAGATAAACCTAATTACAAGTATTGATCTTTCGAGTCCAATCAGGAAACATAATTAATTTTCTTTTATCAGTAATTCGTTATGAGTATCATTATCAAATTAAATAGTATCTGACGTAATTTTTTTTTTAACATTTCTGTTTCATCTAGCTGGATCATGTTAGAAATGTTGACATAATTATATGGTGCGTCATATATTTTATTCTCATCTGTTTCATACCTGGCTGTAGGTGCTTGGTCTAGCCGTCATGGTCCCAGGAATAGTTATGCTGACAAATATTGACTTCCTGAGTGGCAACATTGAACCCTTGCTGGACAAGATATCCTTCAATGGCATCAATCTGTCAAACATCGCTAACAACCTCCCAATCATCTTTATCATCGTTGGCGCGTCGATACTCTTCATAGCTGTACTGGGACTGGTTGGAGCTTGCTGTAAAATCAAAACCTTGCTTGTTCTGGTAAGTAACGCCACTGTACCCAAAACGGTACACTTTGTTTTAGATAAATATCAATGTTCTGTATACCATACTATCAATTAACAAAAAATCATTTAAGCAATGAATGTATTAGCAAATTTTGTGATGGTCGTATAACACACATTGCTATTGATGACCAACATAATAATGGGGGCCGTGGTGGCCAAGTGTAAATAACTCTGACCGTACGTAGGTCGGTGGTTGTTCTCAGGGAACTTCGGTTTCCCTCCACCACCAAAGTATGGCACGTCCTTAAATTACCATAGCTGTTAAACGGACACAAAACACAAACAAACCAAAAACCAAACTTAAAACGCACCGTAGGGATTTATGTAAGTTTGTCAGCAATACAGATGAGTGTTATAGGACCATAACGACATATACTTAAATATTCATTATTAATTTGATATTTATGTTTTGATAGAGTTGTTATACTTTATTTATTCATTTCGAACAGCAAATTAAGTCTTGACAACAATGAAATTACAGCCGTCACAATAGAGAGTGACGACGTTACAATAGAAGATGTTTTGGTAGTCAACATTTGCCTTCTCAATGCATTGCAATGGAAGGATGCAGAGTAAATGTAGATATATTTAGATACTATCCACTTTTAACTAACATGTGTTTGTTGTTTGATAAACATCTGCTGTATCGTGATTCAATACATTTCACACCATTTACTGTATACCGAGAAACTT